AACTTACATAGACAAAAAATATTTTAAAGTAAAATAGGGCACAATTCTAATGTGGCTAGAAAAGCTATATTATAATCAAATAAAATGTTCTGGTATAATAAAGTAAAACAGAATACAATTATATGAAAAATGAAGTAAAAATACAAATCAGTTCTCAGAATGATTGTGTTGGGCAAAAGAATTATACATCACTTGTCTTGGTTTTTAGTTTTAAAGTATAGGATCTATAGAGAGGTTCCTAAATTTTATTAATAAGATTAGACAAAATAAAATATAGGTTGTTCCATAATAGAATATATTACCAATGGGAAATTCATAATGATAAAATGTTCCTTCACATCTTCAAATTAATTCTCAAGGATTTTTATTCTTGTTATCTACTTATTTAGGCTATAATTATTTTTGTTGAAGAATAGGCAATATACTTACACCAGATTTATCTGCCACATAAGCTTCGATCTATGGCGGAGACTAACAAGAGGAGAGAAAGAATCAGAAACCTTCCCAGAGAAGGTAAACGTCTGTCCTAGGAAACATGGATCAGACTCATGTGCAGTGGTGGGTTACCTAAAACACTCTGAAGTTATGAAGAAAAATCAATAAATGTTTGTTAAGATTAAACTGATTTTTAAAGACAAGCCTCTAATGGATTCTAAGGGAAGTTTACTTTTATTTTCTGGAGTGGAACATTTAATTATCAACCAAAACACAACTTTTAGAAGCAGTCCTCCAAACATCTGGAGCTTTCGGTTCAACGTTGGCTTAGGAAATGCACAGATCTGCCCCTTCTCTGCTGAGTCTGACAGCACCAAGCATGACAGTAACTCGTTCTGCTGATCTATGTGTTCTGTGAAAAGCCTATTTGGGTTTCCTAACTGGTCTTTTTTGGTCTAGACAACCATTTGAAACAAAGTATATTATTTGCTTTTTCCAAAGAGAAATGGCAGAGCTGCTCCACCTATCCATTGTTTGCATATTGCTTTCTACATAAAGTTATCCATAACAGCAGCAAATTCAAAAGCAAGTTCATAGCTCAGTCTTCAGCAGATAATTAAGGAGCACAAAGGTCTTGCAACAAGAGTGCAGCCAACTATAGTCATGCAGCATTCCAGCACTGTGCCCACACTCTGGTGGAGGCACCTGTGTGGGCAGTGCAGTCCTGGGGAAGGGCAAATCTGGGACCTAGATCACTGAGGACAAGCCTCACCTGAGGCTGTATGGGAGGTGTTATGCGCACTGGACATCAGGCCTGTCGTCTCACCGATTTATTTAACAATTTGTGAACTCACTGTGTCCTGGCACCTTTCCAAGCACTTTAATATTAATGGTCTATTTCTCTGTGAGGCAAGAACTGCTTTCACCCCCATACTGAGAAACTGAAGGCACAGCGGTTTGGTAACTTGCCCAAGATCATATAATTTGTGATCATTTATTAATTCAAACAACTTACCTGATAAAATTCATATGACAAATGTGTTAACTTTTTGCTTTACTCAAACACCTACAATAAGCCTGCTCTGCTAATGTGCACTTCTCTCATTAATGTTTAATCAGGACCAAAAGTCTTACCAAAAACTCCCCTGGGCTTGCACTCTACTCCGACTCTGCCTTCTCTCTCACCATGTCCAGGCAGTTCCAACTTCAACAGCCATCTACAGTCATCGCCTCTGCTTTCATACCCCCATTTATTCCACAACCCACTAACCTACGACCTTTGCCCAAATTCACTGCAGTTGCGGCACCATCAACATCTGCACCCTCCAAAGGCTCCTCAGGACCCTCCTTGAGGTCGTTTTGCATCTCTCATTATACATTGGCTCTCAGGCTCCAGTCAGTTACATCAGTGGGTCTTCACCTGCCAAGGGTCATGGACATTTCTACACATTTAATGGAAGCCATAGATTCTTTCCTGAGAAAAATGAAGCCTGGATAATATAAAATAATATATTATATATAGATTATATATTATATTATATATAGATTATATATCTACAAATATATATACACACACACACATATACATGCGTACGTGTGTGTGTGTGTGTGTGTGTGTGTTCCATTCACTCTCAGCGGGGAATCATTCCATTTCTGGTCTTTGCTGCCAGAGCCGGAAAACTGCCATCCCACCCCCACGCTGAGAGTACAGTCCCTGCAGCCCATTCAAATTGTTTGTGTTAATCGCCTGGCCCCACGGGCATTGAGTTTCCACCTCCAAGGTTAAATGGCTCCGGCAGTTTTACTACAGGTTTATCCTTTGCGTCTATGAGCTGGATAAATTGAAGCAGTTACAGGGGGAAAATTGAAGGGGACAGTCTTGTCCTAATAGGTAAACAGTGTTTTTATAAAACACAAAAGAGCTTTAATGAGTAAGGAGGCAACTATGCAACAGTGTTTCATAAGTCATTGTCTGCTTTTTCTTATGAGTTAAAATGTATTCTTTAATCTCATTAATTGGATTATGAGATAACTGTTTATTCTTTTATTGCATAAAACACCTACTATGAGCCAGGCACTGTTCTAGGCTCAAGAAATACTTCAGAAGACAGTCACTCCTCTTGTAGGCTTTACCTACTGTGAATAAGAATGAATCAAATATTATTATTGCATAAACTGATAAATGATATGAAGCAAAGTAAGCAAGGAAATGTGGAAGAAGACTACTTTAGATAGGGTTAGATTTTCCAATCAATTATTTTTTTTAACATGTAGAAAGTGATGTCACATACACCTCCTGTCTCCACCGCCAAAAAATTCAGGCACACTTCCTGTCTTCTATGAGTTCTGAAGAGCTAAATTTAGTAACTGCATCTTGCCTTTCAAAGGAAAAGATGTACAATAAAAAGTGAAGTTGGAAGGTTAGTTAATTATACAAGCAGTTCCGAGCTTGACTGGGTTGTCTTCCTAAATCCCTTAAGTGCCTCGTTGAGAACAGCTCGCTCAGTTGACGTAGCTCTAAATATTCTGGAGAAAACACTGCTAACCTCCTGACTTGCTGCTTAGACAATGAGATCACTTCTCTGATGTGCGGGTGTTACTGTGAATATTCATGAATATTTCACCCTACTCACCTTTCAATCACTTATTTTCCCATGGGAGAAAATCTTTATAGAAACAAATAAAAAATCCCTCTGTTCTTACACTCTCAACCTCTCTAAATTGATGTTAATACAATGAGAAAATGAGTATCATGTAGTAAAATAAACTTATTCTAATTGGAGAAACTTTTAATCAATCCTTGTGGATTTTTTAAAATATATATATCATAGACACATTTCTGAGGCACATTATTCATCTACAAAATGTTTAAAATCTAGTTTCACAGAATTGCATCTGAAATAATTTATCTTATTGAAACCATACTAACCATGAAGGCTATTTTCTGTGTTTCAGCCAAATATGTCTCACCAATAAATTATTTTTATATTTTGTTTTGTTTTGTTTTGTTTTGTTTTGTTTTGTTTTGTTTTGAGACAGAGTCTCACTCTATCACCTGGGCTAGAGCACTGTGGCATCAGCCTAGCTCACAACAATCTCAAACTCCTAGGCTTAAGTGATCCTCCTGCCTCAGCCTCCCAAGTAGCTGGGACTACAGGCGAACACCACTACACCTGGCTAATTTTTTCTGTTTTTAGTAGAGACAGGGTATTGCTCTTACTCGGGCTGGTCTCAAACTTCTGACCTCCAACTATCCTCCTGCCTCAGCCTCCCAGAGTGCTGGGATTACAGGTGTGAGCCACCACACCTTCCACCAATAAGTTCTTACTTGTCATCATTCAATAGCCTCTTCACTTTTATATAAATGACTGCCAACTCTCTACATAGTTATAATCAAAAACTACTTGATTTTTCCAGATGTAGTAAAGTATTATAATTATTATGACAATTATATCTAAATAAAAACATAGTTTTTTCATTCTTTATTATATATCATTATTGCAGAATTTTCCTTTCTTCCCATATTTTTAAACATAATTATTTGTAAATCTTTGCCTATAGATTAAAGAAACTAAAACCAAAAATTAAGAATATATCTTCATAATATCCCTGAAGCCAAAGGGCATTTTTGAGGGTTTTTTTATGATGAATATGTTTACATACACAAATAGACACAATACACTTAGTTATGGAAGAGACCAAAAGTGCTGAGAAATTGATGTCTTCCATAGGTACAGAGATATTATTAATAATAAATATGTCTTCATGACCCCAACACAAACAGTTGAAAAGTGATAAAAAGTCAACAATGGTTCTGTGTATGCATTTTTGAGCAACTCACGCTTTGTCTACTCTTTAAAAGGATAGGCATTTTCCACTTTTCCATTTTATTGTAGGTTTCTGATTTTTTTCATTATTGTATTTAAATGACACTACTTGAATGTATCAGAGTGTTTTGTTATAGTCTAAACAGAGCATCCAGGCAAACTGTACATTCTTCTCACTCCCTGACTTACAGCTCTCCAGTCTGAGAACTGGACATCCTTTTATTTAAGACAGCAATACAGTATGTTCTAACTTCAAAATACAGAAATTGTCCCAGGATCCTAGTTATCAATTCAAAAGGTACATATTTGTACACATCTATACACACAGCAATCATACTTCAATACTACTACAAATATCTTTAATTTAAAAAAACACATTTTTTCATATTTCAGTTTTAATAAAATTCACATTTCAAATTAATGCAAGTAAAGACAACACATTCCAAATAAATGTATTTAAATATTATAAATAAGAACTATAAAATTTACCTTCATATATGACTATTTGACAAACATGTTACTAAAACTCATATGTAAAACAATCATTTCTCACTAGCACTCTAAGGTATAACTTACATGATTAAATCTTTAGTACAGAATGTTAACAATATAAGAAAATAATATATCTAGCAAAAATAGAATAGCATTTTTAATATTCAATTTGCAATATGTGATTTAAACTCTGTTTTAAAAAATTATATATTACTATATACACAAAGATAAACCAAAAGACTCCATTCTATGATAGGATACAGCTAATTAGTTATTTCTGGGAAGTCTTTCATTTTACTCATTATAATATCTATAAAATTACAAATTTCATCTCTTTTTACATTTAGTATAATTCCAGGTACTTTCTTCTTCGAATTAAATTAATACATTCTTAAGAAATGCCTGTGGGGGGAAAAGAAGAAATACATCATTTATGACCTGGTTGTTAGCATACTTTAAAATGCATACAGTTGTAACAGTTATATTTTATTTTAGTTTTCTACTTAAAGAATCTGTGGACCCTTAATTTACAGTCTAATCCTAAGAATGCTGGCTATTGTGTGTGGAAAAGGAGGACGGCTGATCCATACTTTTAAAGATTTTAAATGATGATTTTCCCCTTTAAAGTTTTATGACATCTAGACACACTCCAGAAAATGAACTTGATATCACCTAAATAACTAATAAAATATCCCTACAATTTATCTGTAATATTGTTATTGTAATGTTTTGTTAAATAAACAGAAACAGATACTGGCCAGGTGCCGTGGCTCATGCCTGTAATCATAGCACTCTGGGAGGCCGAGGCAGGAGGATCACCCAAGGTCAGGAGTTCAAGACCAGCCTGAGCAAGAGTGAGACCTTGTTTCTACTAAAGATAGAAAGAAATTAATTGGCTAACTAAAAATATGTATAAAAAAAATTAGCCATGGTGGTGTATGCCTGTAGTCCCAGCTACTCGGGAGGCTGAGGCAGGAGGATCGCTTGAGCCCAGGAGTTTGAGGTTGCTGTGAGCTAGGCTGATGCCAATAGCACTCTAGCCTGGGCAACAGAGCAAGACTCTGTCTCGTAAAAAAAAAAAGAAAGAGAGAAAGAAATAGATGAAACAGATACTGTCACAGATAACTCATACAGGGGAAATCACAACTTTCTAAAGTCTACAGTTTTAAAGAGTTATATTGATTAGCTTTGTCTTCTATGGAGTCAGTCTCAGAAGAATCTGTACATTGTTAAATGTATGTATATTATTTTAAATTATAATACAGTACTTGTGTGGGGAGAACTTTCCTAGTATTATGTTATTTTTGAACTTTATGTAAATTCACTCATTTACGTAGAATATGTTAAAAACAAAGCAAGAGATAAATATGACTTGATGCAAGTCATTTCAATAGCCAAATGAATTTTCTTGATTTATTCATGTTTTGCATTATTCAAAAACTTTGAGACAAGTTGAGAGTAATTGATTCAGGTATCTTGCAACAGAAATGATTTAGTCCATTTTCTTTATCAAAGAAAGAAAATTTTTAAATTTAGCAACTGTAGGCTGGGCGCGGTGGCTCACGCCTGTAATCCTAGCTCTCTGGGAGGCCAAGGCAGGCGGATTGCTCGAGGTCAGGAGTTCAAAACCAGCCTGAGCAAGAGCAAGACCCCGTCTCTACTATAAATAGAAAGAAATTAATTGTCCAACTAATATATGTAGAAAAAGTTAGCCGGGCATGGTGGCGCATGCCTGTAGTCCCAGCTACTTGGGAGGCTGAAACAGAAGGATTGCTTGAGCCAGGAGTTTGAGGTTGCTGTGAGCTAGGCTGACGCCATGGCACTCACTCTAGCCTAGGCAACAAAGTGAGACTCTGTCTCAAAAAAAAAAACAACAAAAAAAACAACAACAACAACAACAAAAAAAAAAATTTAGCAACTGTAGATATGCAGAATTAATAGTCCTAATTATTATCATTAATTTGTAATAATAGCTTTTAAAATAAGAATAAAATTAGTAACAGCAATAAGGTCAGGATTGTCTCAGGAACTATCACAACAAACCTGGGAGACGGTTTAAGTAAACATCCATGCAGTTATGTGTGATAGGTTGAGTTCTACTGGCCAGTTCAAAATATTTATGGGTACTTCTAGACTACAGGTACCCCATGACTTTCATTCCCACCTTCATAACCTGAGGAACTATTTTCCTTGTAGGTACTTGTCCAGGGTACTGAAATGCCGGCCCCCAAAAATATTGACTTTGTACTACAGTGGGAAAGAACTATTCATCAGAAAAATATTTGCAAAGAAATGGATATCTTTCAATATGTTGTATAGATTCTACCTTTGTAAATAAATGTTACAATTTACATTAAATTTACTTAGGATTGTACAAATACATTATTGCCCTAGGGCTCCGAGGGGAATTTAGCCAGAATGAAAATTCTGATCATTTAAATGTAAAGTAATAGGCTAGAGCAGATGATGATTTCATGTTTATTCTATACTTTTATTCTTTGCTTTTTCTTCTATGTTTCTAGTACTTTCTCTGTGTTCTTCCCTACATTGTGTAAAGCAAAGTTTTAAGACCAGTTTCACTTTTATTACATTGTTTGGCCAGTTAAAAAAAGATAGACTTGTAAATAGTTTTGTTCATCTAATGTCTATCTGCATAATGTTTCTGCACAATCATAAAATAAAACCAAATATTGAAAGATTTTTTTTAAATCACTCTGGGCTGGTAAGGTTGCCAAAAAAGCTGTTTATCTTATTTAATTCAATCACTGCTGAGGACATTTTAAATTAATTCAATAAAGCAGTCTGTGTATTTAGACCAAGTTTTAACAGTGAAAAACCCACAGATTAAATTTACTAGGTATTGCTAAGATTAGCTTCCTGGTTTCTTACATTGTTCGTTTTCTTAGGTAAGTTAGACTATTGACAGAGTTGAAGAGACAACCTATAGAATGAGAGAAAATATTTACAAACTATTCATCTGACAGGAATTAATGTCTAGAACAGGGGTCCTCAAACTTTTTAAACAGGGGGCCAGTTCACTGTCCCTCAGACTGTTGGAGGGCCGTTGGAGAGTGCGGCGCACATTCCACACATGCGCACTGCGGGCCAGGAACAAGTCGGCTCCTAAGCAAGATAGGCAGCGGTGGCAAAAACACTCGGTGGGCCAGGTAAATGTCCTCGGCAGGCCACATGTGGCCCTCGGGCTGTAGTTTGAGGACACCTGGCCTAGAATATACAAGGAACTAAAACAACTCAACAGCAAATAAAAAAAAAAAGAAAAAAAAATCTGATTTCAGAGTGGACAAACGATCTAAATAGACATTTCTCAACAGAAGACCTACAAATGGCCAACAGATATATGAAAAAAAAAATGCTCAACATCACCAATCATCAGGGAAATCCAAATCATAACCACAATGAGACATCATCTCATTCCAGTGAGAATGGCTACTTGCAAAAAGACAAAAATAACAAATGCTGGTGAGGATGCTGAGAAAAGCAAACCCTCTGGGAACGCTCACACATTGTTGGTGGGAATGTAAATGAATACAGCCACTTTGAATAATAGTATGGAGGTTCCTCAGAAAACTAAAAACAGAACTACCATATGACCCCCAAATCCCACTACTGGGTATTTATCCAAAGAAAGGAAATCAGCATATCAAAGGGATGCCTGCACCCTCATGTTTATTACAACACTATTCACAAAAGCCAAGACACAGAACAGCCTAAATGTTTATCAACAGGTGAATGGATAAAGAAAATGTGGTGTATATATATATATATATATATATATAATGTAATACTATTCAGTCATAGAAAAAAATGAAATTCTGTCACTCAAGGCAACATGGGTGAGTCTGGAGAACATTATGTTAAGTGAAATAAGTTAAGCACAGAAAGATAACTACAACATATCATCACCCATAAGTGGAGGCTTAAAAAATTTGAGCTCATGGAAGTAGGCAGTAGAATTGTGGGTATTAGAAGCTGGGAAGGGAAGGAGGGAGGAAAGGGGAAGGATGAGGAGAAGTTGGTTAACAGATACAAATTACAGCTAGATAGGAGGAATAAGTTATGGTAGAGTGAGTTCAACACTGTAGGGCGAATATGGTTAACTATAACTTATTGTATATTTTCATAAAGCTCAAAGAGGATTTTTAATATTTACAACGCAAAGAAATAATAAATGTTTAAGATATACAAGTATTGCAAAGTCACACCCCCCATAAATATGTACAATTATTCTATGTCAACTACAAAGAAAAATAAAAATGTAAAAAAAATTAAATTAAACTATTAAGTAGGATAAGAAAAATAAGTACTCACAGGAGAGGTTTTCTAGCTAGGTCTGTGAGCAGAGTGGACTCACCGATAATCTTGTTAGCAATCTAGCACATCTTTTGTAATCTAGAAAAAACATTTAAAGGTAAATTGTGTAGATAGTGCCTACAAATGTGAAAAGAATCATGTTAATTATTGTCCCTAACACATATAATGATAGCTACATTTTAATAAGCATCTAATATATCAAGTGCTTAACATGTTTTTTATCAATCAATTCTAATAATGCAGTCAGGAAGGGAGTATTATAATATTCACTTTAAAGATGAGAAAAGAGTCTCACAATGTTAATTATCTTATAATTAGAAAACAGTTTGATCCCAAAACTTGCACTTTCTCCACCATGCTGTGCTACAGTTAGTCATTTTGCCTTTAACCCAATGTGACTACTTTTCCCTAGTCATTAAATGCAAGTTGTTTAAAAAAGTATAACAAATCTGACTCAACATCCTGAATAAAATTAAATATTCCTCAAGATGAGCAATCTAGTTAAAAGGAAAGAAAATTCTTAGCATTGATTTTCTTTAAAAGGAAAGTTGGAGCTTAGAAAAGAATTTAAAAACAACAAACTGAGTTACCACACATAATCATAATTTGAGCACTTTCAATGATGGCACTTAAATATTATGTTCTGAATTATTATTAACTCAGAAACTTAAGTATCCAAAAGAATTCACTAGAGCAACCTTCAGAATACATGCTATCATTACTCAGAGACATCCAGCACGCATTGTATATATTATGTGATACAAAAACTATTTACTTTAAAATAACTTTTGACTTGTACTTCATAGTCCTCTTATTTTTTTTTTCATTTACATGAGAGAGCACTTTATTTATGCTAAGGAATGCTAATAATAAAAAGTTTAAATCCTGACAAACATTTTGGTCTTTAAAGAAATCTGGCTATTTTCGGATTTGGGTATTTTCCCAACTAGAACATGGGTTCACTCCTTAGAGTCTCAACAACATGCACAAGCCTCAGGTGCTGTCAATGTCATTAATAACATCTTATACAATGTTTAGTCTATTACTTCCCACCTGCAGACAACTGAAGTTTAAAATACATGCATTTATTATTAAATAAATTTTTAAAAAAAAACTGCCAAAGCTACTTACAGGCGGGTGTTGAGCAATCCCTGGTATTGTAATAGAGTCGATGGAAATGTTTGCTACATTCAGCTGAAAATGTGACTGGCCCTAGTGGACAGGAAAAGAATGCTTACTATAAACATGGGCATGTTTTCCAAACAAATTTGCTAGCACGTTATGGACAGAGATAATATAACTGTGGCTTACACCCTTCCACACCCTTAAAAGAACTTGCCTGAGAGCGTTTCCTTCACTCAGCTGTGTGGGAGGTAATGAAAATTATTGTGGTCTGTGAAAAATTATCTAAATTCATTCCACATTCTCAACATCTCACATAATGGAATCTTCACTGTCAGTAGAACTCTCTAGAATAATTAGGGGGGGAAAAACTCTAGACAGAAAAAAAATCTGCTGAGAGCAAAATGGATGTGAAAAATAAAAAATGAGTACCCTTCGTTTCTACTTTTTGTTTCCTAGTTTTTTATTTAATAGGAATTAATGTTTATGTTCGAAGACATTTATTCCATTTTCTATTGATAGTAATTTATGTCTTATTAGTGTCAAGGACTATTATAAAGTGTGCAGGGCCTGAGAGTTCCTTCTTTCTCTCCATAAATCCAGGGGGCCCCATCCAAGCCATCACCCCTCCCTTCTGAGTCTGCCTTTCGCGACAGTGACCGAGGTAGGGAGTCCACAGTCCTGCTGCTCACAGCTGCCTGGAGTCACTCAACAGCCCGCCGCGCCCTCCCCCGGTCTCTGCTTCACCCACAGGGCCGTCATTCTGAAGTTGATGAACAGACATGGCCCTTGGATTTAATTAAGTGGGAAAACCACATCTTTACCACGTGAGGAGCTGAGACGCAACAGAGTAAAAGGTAGCCGCAGTGATGAGGAACAGAGGGACAATAACAATAGTAAATGGGGGTGGGGGGACTGTTCGAAATAATGTAGTGATTTGCTAGAACTTGGGGCACAGGGTGATGCGTAAATCATTCACAAATTTGATACGAAGAACCAGAGAGTGTCCTAAGAACATTTCATCTGTGCTTAGATGTGGCATATGGAAGTCTGTCTCTTCCATGTTCAAAAACTTCTATTGCTCCCATGAGCAATACAAGTGCCATTTAAGATTGCATGCCATTTAAGACTCCACACCGCCCCTCCCGGCTGGTGGCAGGGACGCAGCCCGGCGCCCAGAACCCTCGGTACCCTGGGGACACGGCGCTGGGGCGGCCCTGGTGGCGGGGAGGACCCGCCCTGCTCTCAGCGCGTGAACTCAGGGAAACACGAACGGATAACAACGGAAAAGGTGCAGGAACCGTGGGAAGCAGCAATTTGCACAGGAAGCCGTGGGAGATGTCGTTTACTGTAGTCGGCCTGAAGCTGGGACAAAATCAAACAAGGTGAGTTTGGTGCTTTGGAAAGTGTGCAAGCTGCTCGCGAGCTCCATTCTCCCTTATCAGGAGAAGTAACTGGAATTAATGAAGCTCTGTAGAAAATCCGGGACTTGTCAACAAATCTTGTTAGGAAGATGGAACTGATGAGGGAAGAAGCATCTGAGAAATACATAAATTCTATTGAGGAGTGAAAGTAGAACCCCTAAATACACTAGTGTGAAGAATTTTTTTTTTTAAAGTATCTTTTAAAAAAAGATTTCCACAGTACGACTCCTTCCTACCTTTCCAGCCATGTATGTGCCCAGTGGTCACATATATCCCTACCTAAACCCACCACCGTCCGTACACACCACCCTCCTGTCCTTCCCCAAACCACACCGTGAGCCTTTATGCCTTGCTCAATGGGCTTCTGGCCTGAATGCCTTGAGGAGAAACCCTTATTTATCCCTTAAAGCCCAACTTATCCCTTAAAGGCCAATCGTATCCCGTAAAGCCAAACTTAAATTTGTGTCCACTACAAGCCCTTCCTGGTGGTTCTTGGCCACATTATTCACTTCCTGTGTATTCCTAAAACTTTATACTTTATTGCTAATCAAGATCTGGAGTGGGCGCAATGGTTCACATCTGCAATCCTAGCACTTTGGGAGGCTAAGGCAGGAGGATTGCTTGAGCCCAGTTCAGGATCAGCCTGGACAACATAGCAAGATCTCATTTCTACAAAAAATTTAAAAATTAGTCAGGTATGGTGACATAAGCCTGTATTTCCTGCTACTCTGGAGGCTGAGGCAGGAGGATGGCTTTAGCCCAGCAATGGGAGGCTGCAATGAGCTATGATGACACCACTGTACTCCAGCCTGGGCAACAGAGTGAGACCCTGTCTCTTAAAAAAATATATGGTTTACATTAGCGTTAATACAAGTTAATAGCATTTGTCCAGCTCCCCCACCAGATTGTGAGTTTCCTACAGACATTGTCATTGTATCCTCAGCATCTAACATAGTAATCTGCACACAATCTTTTTATTTAATGGAATCAGTGATAAATTTTATACTTGCCTGTGAAATGCTTTATGAATTTGTCTTTGTCTTTTAACTTCAAATCTCTTGGGAATATTTCTGAAAAGGAAAAGAACTTCAGAATTTCTTGAATACATTTCCATCATTAACAATTTGCATCATAACAATATTATGCACTTAATAAAGCACTAAACACATGAATCCAGGGCAGTTTATATAGCTGATCCCAAATCTGTATCTCCAGCCTTGACCAGCTCCTGGGGCCCCAGAACTCCAGTAGAGCTAACTTCTAGCTCTACTTCTCTCTCAAGGCAACTTGCAGGCCTTCCAGAAGTGCCCACACTGAGTAGGACATCTGGTTTTCCCCTCTGCCTGTACCTATTTCTCTTCCATGTTCTCAGTCTCAGTGAATGGCATCCATCACTCTATATTCCTTGCTCAGGCCCCAAATCAAGAAGTTCCTCTTTGCCTCACCACTACATCCAACCCCCCAAAATTATCCAGACCTATGCACTTCTTTCTCCACCCATTAACACAAGGCTGGTCCAAGCCATCGAACTTTCGTGACCACTTCAGCAGCAGCTTTCTAACCTGTCTTCTCCCCATAATCCTTTTTCTCTGCAGTAGCCAAGAGCAAGCAGATTGCAACGTACTTCAGCTCATGATACTCTTCCACTTAAAAGGCTCTGTGCTTAAAATAAAATAAAATTTAAAAATCAAACTGCATCTCAGACTTTATCTTGTACTCACTAAAAATGCATCATCCAGAAAAAGCAATTTGTAAAAAACAGTCAGGAGTGTATTCAACTCTTTTAAAGGGAGAGAAAACTTAAATAAAACACTTAGGCCTCAATATTTGCGAGCAGTTACATGTTTAAACTTACAATGTTTCTATTATAAAATGGCTCATCTGTACCTCAAACATCATATGAGCATAACGGGTGAGTGAGCACTGGTCGTCTCCCGGCAGGTGAGTCTGGGGCCCGGGAGGGCCTGTGCGGGCTCAGGGCGCTCCAGCGGCCCCAGGGCGCCGCACGGTGGAGGCTCCCTGCCCATCTGACGATGAACAGCTGCATTTTACAATTAAAACTAATCCAGGCCGGCGCGGTGGCTCACGCCTGTAATCCTAGCACTCTGGGAGGCCGAGGCAGGCGGATTGCTCGAGGTCAGGAGTTCGAAGCCAGCCTGAGCAAGAGCGAGACCCCTATCTCCACTATAAATAGAAAGAAATTAATTGACCAACTAATATATATAAAAAAAATTAGCCAGGCATGGTGGCGCATGCCTGTAGTCCCAGCTACTTGGGAGGCTGAGGCAGGAGGATCTCTTGAGCCCAGGAGTTTGAGGTTGCTGTGAGCGAGGCTGACGCCACGGCACTCACTCTAGCCTGGGCAACAAAGTGAGACTCTGTCTCAAAAAAAACCTAATCCAGGAAAACAAAAGAGCAGTGAATATGAAAGTGTTTCCTCATGTAAATCTTTCGGTGTTCTCGTCAATAACATTCCAACCTGAACACAGGTCTTTCCCCACTTCTTCTCGGAAACCAAATGTAGCAAATTGGTTTCTTTGGCATTGATTCTCTGTGTGGCCTTGGGGCCAGGCAGCTGCACTGACGCTTTCTGGAAGGTGAGCCAGCCGAGTGCACTGGCAGTACCTACTATGGCTAAAGCACATTCAAAGACTTTGTAAATAATTCTATGTCTGAAAGCACTTAGACTATAATTCTAATCTGTAGCCCCTAGGACAGTGATAACACTCAGGTTTGTAGGTAACTACATATTTTAAGAAAATTGTCCCTTTTTCTCCACCGTGGTAACACATTTTGTGACTTCTACCAAAGCAGTTGTCACATTCTGATTAGCATGACAGTGCACTGTGCACATCTGGGGGGGTTTGAGGCAAGGGATGCTGTCCTGTTCACCTGTGATCACCAGTGCTTTGCTGACGGAGGACACAGAGGGCTGTTAACCTTTAAATGGAAACAATCAATGTCTCATTTGCACCCCATATAGGCCACCAAGGAAACCACAATTTTAATACACTTGAATTTTAATTTCAAGATACAACCATCAGATAGGAATACAGGAATACAAAACAGATTGATTTAACTGAAACAAGGAAGTGCCGTTTAAGATGACAACCAAAGTAACGAGCCAGAGATTTCTAGGTAAGAAGAGATGGAAGAGGGGACTGCAGTGTGTTAAAGTATTTGAGGAATATCCAAGTGGCTGAAAGAGAGAGACAGGTTAGAGCTGTTTACAAACTTTGTGCTTAGTTTTATGGGTGATGAAGTCAAAGAGTTTTAGGCTAGGGAATGGCATAGCTGAGCTTCATTTTTTTTCTTTTCTTTTTTTTTTTTTTTTTTATGAGGAGGCCTTGCTGTGTCACTCAGTCTGGAATGCAGTGGCCTGATCACAGCTCACTGCAGCCTCAAACTCCTGGGCTTATGCAGTTCTCCCACCTCAGCCATTCAAGTAGTTGGGACTACAGGCTCCCACCACCATGCCTGGCTAATTTGTTTGTTTGTTTGGAGAGATGAGTGGCATGATCACAGCTCACTGCACCCTCAAATTCCTGGGCTCAAGAGAGTCTCCTGCCTTCCGCCTCCTGAGTAGCTGGGACTACAGGCAGACTCCATCATATCCAGCTAATTTTTAAATTTTTGTAGAGATGGGCCCTCGCTACGTTGCCCAGGCTTGTCTCAAACTCCTGGCCTCAAGCAATCCTCCCTCCTCAGCCTCTCAGAGTGAGCCACTGTGCCCAGCCTTATGATAGTTTATAGTCCCCAAAACATTACATGAATAACTGGTAAGAGAACTGCTGCAAACAACAAAATTAGTTGATAAATGTCTGATGGAAAATGATCTAAGAAAGTAATGTCTATAATGATAGAAATGTGAACCACATACATAATTTTAAATGTTTTATTAGGCACATTAAAAAAGTAAAAGGAAATGTGAATTAATTTAATAATTTACTTTATCTAACCCAATGCATCCAAACTATTACCATTTCAACATGTATTCAATATTTTAAAATTACTAATGAGATATTTTTACATTTTTTATACTAAGTTTTCAAAATCCAGGGTGTATTTTATACTCATAGCACATCTCAGTTTGGTCCAGCCACATTTCAACTGCTCAAGAGCCACAGGTAGTTTGTGGCTGCCGTGCTGGACAGCAGTCTAAAACGTACGTTTCACTCCTGCATAATACATGGTCATTATCCTGGAACAACTTGAGTAAACTGGTATCTCAGTCATCCAATCTGTAAAACTTTCCAGTTTTTATTTAACCCAAACAGTTGCTATCTGGCGCCCTCATCGATTTTAAATTTATAATATCTTTTAAAATAATAGATTTGCATATGCGTGTGTGTATATGTTGGCGTGTTTGTCTCTCGCTCCTATATTCTTGTTAACAAATGAGTAGAGATATGTGAAACAATAAAAAAACATAACAGTACAATTAAAAACTAAAATAATAGAAAATGTTTATTGTATGCTTCTATTTGCATGTAATTTTACTATTTTACCATAAAGATAATTTGTTCTGATATGATTGACTCTTGAAAAGCCATGTTAATTGATCCTCAGTCTTTTGTAGGTACTGTGGGACATTATTTTATGTTTTAATCTGTTATTATATTAGGTGCTTAAAATGCTTACTGCATAGTTCTTTGAGTTATCATTTATTTTAGTTAAACAGATGGCACTATTAATCTCTTTTTCAATATATAAAAACAGTACTATTTTCAAAAATAAGAACAATTACCTTTATTATCTCACTGCTAAGAGAATTGCTGGTGGAAAATATAAGTATTTACAGAAAATTGCAAATTTATTAAGTATATGGTAGAAAAAGATGTTGACTTTTAAACATATTGAAGCAATACTTTTAAAATACAAAATTAAAAGTATTTAAAATTAAACTGACATAAAATGTGTATCTTTTTTCCTTATGTAGTAATATTGGCATATATGCCAATAAATACTTGTAAATGTATAAATATTTATAAAAATATATTTTATATCATGCTTCTATTAGAGATGAAGATGTTTAAACAGAGGGATGTATGTGTATAACTTTCTTTTTTATGTAACTTTTTATGAGGTCTAATGTTATTAATATTTAGGCTGCAAATTACACACAAGATAAAAAAGTAAATCTGAACTGACTACTTATTATCTTCTAATTTTTTTGCTATTTAAAATATGTTCCACAGACCAGCAGCATCAGCATGTCCCAGGAGCTTGTTAGAAACGCAGACCAGGCCAACGCCCACGGAGTCCGCCTTTTTCACCTGGAACACAGTGCCTCGGGTTCACGCCCGTTTGTGTGCACACTGTCTGCGACTGCTTCTGAGCCACGGAGACAGGCGAGTGCTGTGAGTGCTTTCTCATACTTTGCATACAGAGAAGTACAGATAGGTTCCGCATTAGGAAAAGGCACTATTGTGTATTCATTTCCTATAGCTGCCATAACAAAGTTCCACAAATTGGATGGCTTTCACCAACAGAAACTTACTGCCTCACAGTAAGGAGGCTAGAAGTCTAAAGTCAAGGTGAGGGCAGGGCCATGCTCTCTGCAGGCGCAGGAGAAGCTTGCCTCCCTGCGTTTTCCAGCTTCTCGTGGGTGCTGGCAATCCTTGCCGTTCTCTGGCTTGTCCATGTGTCGGTCCAACCTCTGCCTTCGCCATCACACGGAGCTCGGTGTCCAGGTGTCTTCGCATGGCCGTCATCTCATTAAGGACACCAGTCACACTGAATTAAGGGCCCAGCCACTGTGCTCCAGTATAACCTTCCTCATTTTAACTAATTGCGTCTGCAATGACTGTATTTCCTAATAAGGTCACATTCTGAGACACTAGGAGACTAGAAACTTAACATATTTTTGGGGGGAACACAACTCAATTCCTAACATAAGGAAGTCTGAGTTTACTAAACAAACAAATTGAAATTGATTATTTGCATTATAAAAGTTATTTATTTTCACAATAATTTGTTCAAAATTATTTTTAAATGGTTTAACCAAGATATCAAAAGCATGACATTTACAAAACTTCAATGGGTGCACAACTTTTAAATAAATAAATATATTCTGTAATATGAGGTTCCATTGCTATCCCTCGGAAAAGAAATCGCCAGTCAATTTGGCCAATACAAGTTGCACAGACCCACCTACAAAGAGTATTCTGACTGAAAAACTTCTCAAAATAGAAAATATTTTTAAAACACCACTCACTATAGGTTATTTGTAATAGAATGCTTAAAATTATTGTAGTACTATTATTTAGATTTTTTCTGAGATTCTAAATAGCTTTTGAAAAAATGAATTATTTAATTCTCCTCTTTCTCACAAATAGCTTCAAAAGACAGAATTTACACCCCAAAACTAAAAAACAGAATGTTCTGGAAGATCTCAACTGCGTATAAGAGTGATATAATATTTTTTAAATGAGCTTTTTGTCACTGGGCAGTTTCAGGCGTACAAAGCATTGTGCACCCAACCACAGAGCATTCCCAGCTTCTCCGATTACTAGCATCGGACACTGCAGGGCATTTCCTGCAGCTAATGAACCAACGCTGACATGTTACTTCACTCGGATTTCCTCAGGTTTCACTCGATGTCCTTTTCCTGTCTCGGGAGCCCACATCACACTTAGTCGTCATCTCTCCTTAGGCTTCTCTTGGCTGTGACAGTTTCTCAGTCGTTTCTTGTGTTTGATAACTGACAACTTTGAAGAGTCCTGGTCAGGTATTTTGTAGAATGTCCCTCATTTGAGATTTTTCTGATATTTCTCTCATGATTAAACTGGGGTTAAGAACACTAATGTAAAGTGCCATTTTTGTCACCTCCTATCAAGGGTGCATGTTATCCACTTGTTTATGACTGTTGGTGTTGACCTTGACTGAGGGAGTGTCTGCCAGCTCTCTGCTCTGCGAAGTTGCTGTCTCCCCCCCTCCACATTGTTCTCCTGGGAAGGAGGCCACCGTGCTCCGCCCACTCGTGCAAACCCGGAGTCGTGCTCCCCGCCTTGAGGGCACAGTGTCCACGTGTGTTATTTAGAATTCCTCTCATGGGAGGCTTGTCTCTCCTCCCTCCGTTGTTTATTTATTTAGTCAATCACTTATTAATATTTATACCAGCAGGGACTCATGGTGCATATTTTACACTTTGGGTTATAATCTCATACTGCTTTCTTTGATTGTTCAGATGGTTCCAGCTTTGGCCATTGGGAACTGGTTTTGTTGGTTCCTGCGTCCCTCCAAAATCTCCCTGTCATTGTGGGGGGTTTTGTCATTTTTATGGCTTTACATTTTTATCACTTTTTTTTACTTTCTGGCACTACCAGATGCTCCAGATTCATCTTGTATTATTTCCTGTCCTGATCCTAGCATCAGGGATTTCTCCAAGGAGCCCTGGAGCCTTTTACAGGAGAATAGTCTTAGAAACTAAGATCTGGGCCCTTGGTGTGCTCCTTGCACTGGGGTGTCGTGACTTCCAGGCCCTTTCAGCTGATGGAGCAAGCAAATATGTGTGTGGTGGAAATGAGGAATTTGATTTTAATACATCCAGTGTTTAAATTATTTCTAAAATTATACTATGGCACGTAATATTTAATGGAACATATTTTTGGAATGTACAGTATTTGTAATATTTCACTGATGATATCACAAGGAGCACATAAAAGTCATTTTAAATGATCTAGGCTCAAACATGTAGTTGTATTAACTCATACTCTGCACCCAACTTCGCCTTGTGTCCTGTCCTAAGACCAGACAGCCATGCTTTGCTTTCCCAACCAAAGCAAAACTCTGTGTCAGGCCACACACCTCCAAAGATTCCTCGGGTTTCTTTTATAAACTGAGGTAGACAAACTAAATCATCTCCAAAGTCCTTCCTAAGTCTTCAGTTATAAAATACTATGACAAGTTTCCAACATTATATTGCTTATTTACCAAAGGACAAAATATTAAATTAGTCCAAAGACTGGAAAAAAATACAAAATCATGTTGCAAAGTAGATTTCCTTCTGGTTTTAAACCACAGGCCAATTCATGTTTAATTTAAACTTTAGTCATTTCATTCAAAGACTGCTGTCAAGAAAATGATCTATTCAGCCACTGTTCCCCATCCCAACTACACAGGGCCAGGTGCCAGACAACCGGGGACGGACCTCGGCACCAGGGCCCACTGAGATGATTCAGACCACCCAGTCCTGAACCTGCTTCCCCTCACTTGCCTCAGCCTGCTCTTGCCACAGCTCCCATCCCTTCTTCCTCTAAGTGGCCCTGGTTCCACGTGGCCCTGTGTGGTGTGCTGTGTCCCTGTTTTTAGGAACTTGTCAAAATAAACTTCTTCCTTCAAATATCACTTCCTCGTCTATGGTCTCATCATGATTAAACAAATCCCAGGTACATTTTAAGGCAGGTGATGACAGATACTGGGAGGAACAGTGACCTAATCATATTAGTTTCGCATCTTCTGGCAACAATGCAGAAAATGGTTACAAGAAAGCTTATCTGTCTCACTGTAAACTTCTATAACAACTTTAAACTAACTTTCTCTAAATATGCTATGTTGCTTTTCTAGATGAAACAATGAAATTCTTTGTGCAGCAAGAGTTTTTGAGTATGTTTCAAAATGCCTTACCATGAACATTTCTGAAATGTTCAATTACTACCTGATTACCACAGGCTAAAAATTTACCAAAGTAATTTTAAGTATCTAATTAGATAGTAAAACAGAGTAAGTACTCATAGGAAATATTTTCCTAAGAATGGATACATATGGTTTAGAAGATCAATGAATAAAGGTCACAAACAGTAATAATACAGTAATATAACTGAACCAAAATTTAAGTCATCGACATGTGGGATAAGCACGTTTAATTCTCATTGTCCACATACCTTAGCCTATGTATTAGGTTTCTTTTCTTCCTTCTGAAGTATCTTTTATTTTCACTTCATCAATGAAGAATTTTTTAAGAAATGGCTATTTTAACACTTCACCAATTAATTAAGTAGCAATGAATAATTATTTAATACAGCAATTCATTTCTATTCTTGCAACCTAAAATTCAGACTATAAATACTGTCCTATGTAAACAAGACTTTGTTTTTAAATCTATTAGGGAACACAGGAGATAGTCACAGGAAAGAGTTACACAAACGGACAGTGTTTTGAATCCAGTGGGTAAATGGTATTTTTCCTTTCTTACCAATAGGTATATACATCTTCTGACAACAGAAAAATCTCTTATAGGCCCAGTGAGGTGGCTCACACCTGTAATCCCAGCACTATGGGAGGTGGAGGCAGGAGGATCGCTTGAGGCCAGGAGTTCAAAATCATCCTGAGCAATATCGAAACCCTTGTCTCTACAAAAAATTTAAAAGTTAGCCTGGCATGGTGGTGCATGCCTGTAGTCCCAGCTACATAGGAGGCTGAGGCCAGAGAATTGTCTGGGCCCAGGAATTTGAGATTGCTGTGAGCTATGATTGGGCCACTGCACTCTAGCCTGGGTGATGAAGCAAGACCCTGCCCTAAAAAAAAGAAAAGAAGAGAAAGACAGGAAGGAAAGAAAGGAAAAAGGAAAGGAAGGAAAGGAAGGAAGGAAAGGAAGGAAGGAAAGGAAAGGAAAAAGGGAAGAAAAGAAAGGAGAGGAAGGAAAGGAAAGAGGAGAAAGAAGAAAGGAAGAAAGGAAAAAGGAAGAAAGAAAAGAAGAAAGAAGAAAAGAAAAGGAAAGAAGGAAAGGAAAGAAGAAGGAAAGAAGAAAAGAAAAGAAAAGAAAAGAAAAGAAAAGAAAAGAAAAGAAAAGAAAAGAAAAGAAAAGGAAAAATCTCCTATAAATAAGCATAACCAGGTCTTGAGGCGGTCATGACGAATCCGCTCTGTCCAGATTCACCATGGCTGGCACTTGTGCAGTACTTTAAGAGAGTGGGAATGCTGCCGGCCCTAGACCAGGAGCCCTGCCAGGTGCTCACACACCTCCGCTGCTCGGTCTTCACCAGAAGCCCCTCATGTGCTCTTCCCTGGGGCACAAACGCCACACCCGGAACTCAGAGAAGCGCCCTGCGCAGGGTCCACAGCTCTGTGGCTAAGGCAAACCTAGAACCCGTGCTTTCTGCCTCATGGAAACGATCACCAGCACATCTGATACCATCAATAAACTCCTTAAAAAACTGTCAGCCAGAAATGATTGTCTTTCAGGGTTTAAATTTTTTAGTGTTTTTGTTTTCTCATTTTCTCATAAGTAACTACCACTTGTGCTCGCTTCGGCAGCACGTATACAAGTAACTACCACTTAATAAAGACAAGACGTTTTCTTTAATAATTGGCTCACATGATTTGCTGTGTGTCCACAGGGAAAACATAGTTTGCCAAGTGTGAACTAGACATGTAGACTGATTAAATTACGGACATAATTAAGTAATTATAGATTCTGTAGAATTTAAGCAAAGTTGAATGCACATATATTAAAATTGCTAAAGATCAATCTTACAAAATAAAAATATAAACAATCAAGAGATTAAAAAGTAATAAAAAAATCAAAAATAAAAATAGGAAAAGAAAAGTAAATTTTTTAAAAAAAGGAAAAAGAAGAAAGAAAACAAAAGAATAAAAAAAATAAATAAAATAAAATTGTAAAATATTAGAAGTACAAAATATGCACAATGGGCACACTCTTCAAGAACAGCATTTAAATTTTAGATGAGTAACTTCAGATGAGAATTTTAGATGAGTAATTTTAGATGAGAATTTTAGATAAGTTCATTTTACTGAACTCATCTCTAGATAATTTATTTTCCCATTGAACAACGGTGTGCCTTTTTCACTAGCAGCTGGCGTGTGATCACGTTGCAGTGACTCTCCTGGGCAGCCCCGCCTGGCCCCCAGCCTCCTGGGTTCCCCTTCCTTCTCTCCTTCATTGCCTATGGCCGGCCGGACAGCGCTCCTTCCTGGTGACCCCCAGGTGCCCAAGTAGGGCTGGCCTGTGCCCAGTGTCGCAAACAACATTTTAAAAAGTGGGCTCTTTGAAAACCTAGTTCTATGAGATGCAAATAATGCTAAACTTTTTAGAAATTTAGATAATGCTAATTTACATAAAAGTTTCCTTTACTGCAGGACTTCGCAGTGCCTTGTCTTAGTCTGTTGCATGTTGCTATAAAGAAATACCCGAGGCTGGGTAATTTGTAAAGAAAAAAGGTTTATTTGACTCATGGTTCTGGTGGCTGAAAAGTGAGAGATTGGGCAGCTGCATGTGCTGAGGGCTCAGCCGCTGCCACTCACTGAGGAGATGGGCAGAGATCACGTGGCCAGAGAGGAGGCAAGAGAGACAGAGAGGGGCCAAGCTTTTTTTAAAAAACCAGCTCTCACAAGCAACCAGTGATAACTCACTCGCCTCCCTCACTCACCCAGGAATGGCACTGATCTGTTCTTGAGGGATCCACCCCCAGGACCCAAACACCTCCCATCAGGCTCCACCTCCAACACTGGGATCAAATTTCAACATGAGGTTTGGAGGCAGCAAACTTGGGAGCACAGCATGCATGTAAATATTTGCAGAAATCTCTTGAAAAGGCAGAGGCAGCAAAGAGGACATGACATGCACTAACACTCTCTGAAGTCCCTCACACTTCTGTCTCCCACATTCCACACCAACTTCTTTTCTGCCACAAACTCCTCCTAACCTCTTCCCTACTCCCACTGTGGCCTGTTCCTCAGCCAGAGGATCTTGCCTGTCTTTCAGTGGGTGAGAACTCCATGCCCCCTTCTGCCCCCTTCTTACCGTAGTGTCAGGTGGGATTCCTCCTTCTGTTCCCTTCTGCTGTGTGATGATCAGAGACAGCAGGGGGCAGCACAGGACAAGAGGGCAGGGGTGAAGCTGGTGACAACATGCACTTTCAATCCTCCCCCTAGTGAGACAGAGGGCAGGGGTGTAAAGGAGCTGGGGGGTGCAGAAGGTCACTGTAATGCTCACGCAGGGCTGCACTAGGGTGGTGGGAGGATGACAGAAAGGAGGAAACGGCCGGGTGTGGTGGGCACCTGCAGTCCCAGCTAATCAGGAGGCCAAGGTGGGAGAATCGCTAGAGCCCAGGCGGTGGAGGCTGTAGTGAGCTATGCTAATGCCACTGCACTGACATTTGAGGCAGGATTTATTAACAGAACTGAGCTCTTCAAGAACAACGGTCAACAGCGTTGGTTAACTTCGTATCCCAAGCCCATCAGAGTGACCTCAAATGTGTGTTGAGTGGCTACACGAATGGATGCACACGTGCATGAACAATGGTGGGCTGTGAGGAGGAAGGAGAGCCAAGGACGGTGAATCGTGAGTGTTTCTGGGCCCCTAACACACGTGTCTTCCCCTTCCCCACCCCAATCCTACGGGAGTTCTCGCTGGCCCCTCCTGCCTCCGGGTTCCCCATTTACTGCACCCTCTGCCTGGCAATGGTTCCCCACCTCCGCCTCACATCTGTGTTTAGGGAAGTTGCCTAACCTACTGAAAAGGGAGAGCGCACAACTGCAGGTGCTGCAAAGAGTCCAGAACCCAGAACAGGTACCTTAGGCGTGGGGAGCAGTGCTTACTATATTGCCACAGAGTCATGGGGCAGAACTCCTGGCACGTCCCGCAGGGATGCGAGTCCTCGACCTCTAGGGCATGGGAGATGTTTCCTCCTCAATGAACTATAACCCCTGCCACTCCCTGAGGGTGTCCCCTGAGAATATCCAGGTAGGTCCTTGTCCCCTCTATTCTCATGTTCCCATGTTCATGTTTGTTGCCAATCCGTGTCCGTGTGTCCCGTTCACAGGCTCAGATACGGATGTAATGAGCCACCTTTCTTCCCTGTGTGAACAGGTGCAGCAATCAAAAGACGAGACCACGAACTGCTCAGAAAACAGTGGGCTTCCAGGGCAACCACAGGTCGCTTTCTGTCAGGCTATGTTGTTTTTAAAACTTCAGATTGTTGTCTCTTTTATTTTAACTTCTAATAAAATGTTCTGCTCTATTCTTGTAACTCACTTCAGTGAGTCTCCACTGTCTTTGAACCAAAGAGAAAATATCTGCTCAACTTAAGTGAAACCGAGGGACTGAATTAACGCACTGCCATAAATGTTTCTGTAGTTTGAGATTTTCTCCCGCTCCTTCCACATTACAAAGTGACATTTCACTTTCTGAAATAAGTATTTGGGCTAACAGTAATTGTGAGTCAAGCTGCATGATCATTGTGGCACCATCACTGCATCCACCGCTGTGGTCACCGTCCGGCGCCCACCCCACCCCAGGCTCCGCACTGGCCTGCGGGTGGACGGAAAGATCTGCCCACTTCCTCTCTGCACCTCCCGCACCGCACCGCACCGCACCTCCCCGCACCGCACCGCACCGCACCGCACCTCCCCGCACCGCACGGCAACGCAACGCACTGAGCTAGGCAGCCGGCACGGGTCGCGGCGCCCTCCCCGCCTGCCTGGGCGCTCCGCAGGGCAGGCCAGCTGCCCACTGGCGCAGGCGCGCTCCCTCCTCGCACACTCTCGCCTGCTCCTCCGGGGCGCCCTGGCCCTGGGTAGCGCCATGACTAGCACCCTCCAGACAAGTAGTATATTTTTATGTCATGACTATTACGCAAGAAAAATGATACTAAAAAATCCCTCTTTTCTTTCTGAGAAGTGAGGCACGCAGCAGAAGAGGCCTTCTAAGCCTTGGCGACAGCAGGTGGGAGCTGCGGGCATTCTGATGCGCCCCAGGGTTTGTCCTCTCACCAGGTCCGGGAAGGCCACCACGTAGCCCTGAACAGGGCCCTTCTGCTCCCCGCCTGAGCCGGCAGCTCCACCTCTCTCTGTTTTTGCAGGGTCTGAGCACACACGTCCGAGTCGCTTCTCTCTCTGCCCTCGCTGCCCTCCTGCCGCCCGTGTCGCCCCTGCCGCCCCTGCCGCCCCTGCCGCCCCTGTCGCCCCTGTCGCCTCGCCGCCACTCCGAGCTCCTCTTCCCTGAGCGCGTCGCTCCCGCGCTCGCGCGACTTCTCTACCGTGGGCGCCTCGCGGCCCTCCACAGTGGTACATTTTCTCCTTCCTCGTTCCCCCCACTTCCCTCGGGCGTCTAAGCAGCAGAACCTGAGAGCGGCAGCGGTGTGGCCCTCCTGACCTGACCAGGGGCAGGTCCGAGTTAACCTGAGCCACCGCAGCCTGCGAGCTCTGCTGCTGGTCGCCACTCCCTGCGGCCAGCGGCACGGCGGAGGAAAGGGGCCCCCGCGCGAGTGCGGCGTCAGAGGGCAGTAATCCTAGCTGATTCTCAAAATCCCGGACGGCGCAGAGACGAGGCGCGGACAGGTACATCGCCTGTCCGCCAGCCCTGGCGGGTGGGGCTGAAACCGCGTCTTTCGGCTGCTCTACCAGTTTATTTCCAGAAAGAATTCCCACACCTGGGAGGGGGCATATAAAGCTGGTTCCTTGCCAGCCGGACTTTGTTATTTAAGTCTCAACCATGGCAAATCTCATAAACTCATCACTTCTTGCCCTGAGAGCCCGGAGTCTGCAGAGGTGTCCGGTCTCCGCTGCGCTTAACTGCGGCTCCCAAAGCGAGCGCCGCGCGGGCTCCGAGGGTCACCCGCCACGACCCGGGCCCGCGCCGAGGACGGACGGGCTGCGACGGACGCGTTACCTGCGCTTCGGAAGGCGCTGGGAGCCGGGCTGGCCCCGGCTGCGGGCAGAAAATGCAAAGGCTTCGACTCCTTGTCTGCGACTCGGGCTCCCCTGCGCCCCCGGGGCCTTCCGTGGATCCCACGAGGGGACAAAGCCAGGGCCAGCAGGAGGAGCGCGCGCAGCGGGGCGCCTGGTTTGGCCGGCCGCATGTCCGCGCGCCTGGGGGAGAGCGGGAGGCTCAGGGCGGATCCCGGGCGGGTCCCGAGGGCCTGCAGCCCAGGACACGGACAGCCGGGTCGGTGGCAGTTGCGGGCCGGCGGGAGTCCTCACAGCCCGCCTGTCCTGTCTGCGTCCTGGGGACGTGGGCTGGAGCGGCACTGAGACTCAGCCCCGCGCGCTCTTAAGCCCGTGCGCCTCGGGTGTGGGGCGGGCCCGGGAGGCGGGGCGGTGTCTGGGGACCCCGAGGTCGTCCCACCGGCCGAGGGCGTGTCTCCGCGCTCAGGACCCTCGGAAGTCCGCGCTGGCTCCTTCCTCTGCGGACACCAGCCTCGGGCTCCGCACAGAACGCCTCCCCGGGGTCCCGGGCACTGGGCTCCATTAAGGCACCTCGCTGCGTCGCACCCGCCCGCCCCAGGTTTACGGGTCTCCCGGTCGCCGCTTCCCCTGGCCAGCGGCCCGGCTTCTAGGTCCGACTGAAGAAAGAAGCGCCGGGTTCGGCGTGGGCGGGCGGAGGCCGCGTTCACCGAGGCGGACAGGTGCGGAGTTCGCCCTCTCCTGCCCAGACGCCCTGCTCCTCTCGGGGCGCGGGCCGGCCCGTCGCACCCGCCGCCCCTGCCGCCGCCTGGGAGCCCGATCCGCCCCGCCGCCGCTGCTCCCGCGCCGCGCCGCTTCCCCACGGGCGGCCGGGCGCGGGACCGAGAGATCTGGGGCCTGCCTGGGGTGCTCGCCGAGCTCCCGGCCTCCCTGGGACTCCTCCCGGGAGTCACCCCGTGAGCTCTTCTGCAGGGAGATCGCGGGTCGACCGGGACGCCCACGGACGCACGCAGACGGCTGGGGCCTTTTAAGTTAGGGGATTCTCCGAAAGTCTTATCGGTGCCAACAATTAAAAAATGAAATTAGGCCATTTGTCCTGATTAAAATGAAGTGAGCATCTGTGATCAAACCGTGCTCTGTAAGTTATTGTGGTACAGTATCTGCCTGCTTTACTGCTCCATATAAAGTACATTGAAAAGTGCTGCGATTGCTCGCTCATCAATTGATCGCTATCTTCTCGCAGGCAAAGTGGCAAACAGTTGAAAGAAAGAGGGAAGGAATAACCAGGCCCCATTATTCATCCGGCACTGGACAATATTAAGTTACTCTACAAAAGACATGTCGTCTGTCACAGACCCTGAAAAATAATCCCGACTCGTTCAATTGGTTTATTTAGGTTTGGCCTGTCCAACAAGCCCAGGAAATTGGAGACATAAAACAAGCTTTACAGGAGCCCTATAAAATCATGCCTTGGGATGAAACTCTTTTGAGGAAGTCATACAGGTGACCACTGCCTCTTCCAATCACTTCACTGTTTTGTTTGTTTAATCTTCTCCACAGAGTAGATTAGTAGCATCTGCTTCAGAGATCCAGTTCCCCAACGCAATGATTTTTATCACAAATAAGCAGGTTGGTTATAACTAAGTTACTCTTTGCTTTTTTCTTTGTTGTGTTCATTGTACATCCTTGACTAGTTCTTACTGCCCCACTTTGCTGTTGCAGAAGCACAAAGTCTGGTATTTCCTAAGCAAACGCACTGGCCTGAGAGAACGGCTTCCACCGTGGGGGCCCCGGCCAGCCTTCTCGGAAAAGTGACTTAAGAGTCTGTGAAGGCCCTGGTTAGGTGTAACAAACCCTTTCCAAGAGCTCTTTCCAAGAGTAAAGTGGAATAAGGAAACGTTAGAAGTTCACAGACACTGACAAGCATTTCAAAAATTAACCTTAACTAGAAAACAAGTTAGTGGCCATGAAAAACAGTGGGGAAAGCTGTGTGAGTGACACTGCAGAAGGAGGGGTGCGGACACCGCAATGAGAAATGAGAATGAGAATCAACTATCAGGGAAAAGCGAACGCAGCCCAGAGGTGGGATTATTTCCCTGCTTTCTACACGCTGAAAGTCAGAGGAAGCAAGCAAACCAATGAACTTTCCGGAGCCTGACCGTTTGGCCTCTGCTTGTCACTGGTCATCAGCCATGTGACCCTGAGCAAATCATACAGTCTCAGTGTTCCCTCTGACAACATGATGGGGTTGAGCTTCAGGGGTTCTCAGACTGTGTAGCACATGGCGAAAAAGAGGCGAGAGGTGTGTGTGAAGAATGCAGATTCCCACACCTCTGGGGACCCATTTTAAGGCACTCTGGGTAGTTCTGCAGCAAGTGATCCTTGAAACCCACTTTTATTGATTCGACAAAAATTATTTGAATAAAACTATGGGCCAAGTAGTGCAAACACAGTGGAGCCATATCTGTGGGTAAAAGGATAAAATCCTTGTCTTTGTGAAGCATCTAGCTTCAGGGATCAGTTGCCCAATGCAATGATTTTTATCATAAATAAGCAGGTTGCCTATAACTAACTTACTTTTTGCTGTTGTTCTTTGTTGTATTCATTGTATATCCTTGACTAGTTCTTACTGCCCCAACTAAATGCTACTTGCCCTACCTCCTGCTAGTTAGTTCAGGGGCAACTTGAAGTTGATGGATGTTCATTTTCATGTTGATACAATCTCAGTAACACTTGCTAACTTATTATTTAATGTTTAAAGAAGGGATTATCTATGTAGGAATAGATACTTAGACATCAACTAATGTTTTAAATAATTCAGTTTTTTTAAAGTGTACATGTTAAATGCTATTTTGTAAGCCTTGAAACTCATGACATGTATTTTCTTTATAAATTAGCCAATAAATGGAACAGATAAAGTTCCCTATTTAACTATTTAACACCAGCAAACCCTATTAAACATTTCAAATTGCAATCACAAATTTAATATAGTTAATTTTACAGCAAGAGCATCATAGACGTTCTATTCATATTTTTGAGCTAAGATACTCAGATACAAAAATTTAAAAAGTTATATTCTTAGGGAATTGTTTCAATAATTACAAACTTTCAAAAAGCTTTTTCTATGCTGAAGGCACATAAAATTTCCAAGTGATTGGGAGTAATTCAAAAAATTAAAAGGTAGGAATTTTTAAAATCTGCATAATTGCATTTTTTTATATTTTAGCATATTATGGGGGTACAAGTGTTAAGGTTACCTATATTGCCCATGTCCCCTTCCCCCCTTGAGTCAGAGACTCAAGCATGACTATCCCCCATACATTCCATATCTCACTCATTTTGTATAAATGATGTGTTTGTATATACCTATCCTCTCCTCCCCCCTCCCACCTGCCTGACATCCAATAAATGTTATTCCTATATGTCCACTGAGGTACTGATAATACCAATTTGCTGGTGAGTACATGTGGTGCTTGTTTCTCCATTCTTGAGATACTTCACTTAGTAGAATGGGTTCCAGCTCTATCCAGGAAAATATAAGAGGTGCTGTATCACCATTGTTTCTTATGGCTGAATAGTACTCCATGGTATATATATACCACATTTTATTAATCCACTCATGTATTTATGGGCACTTGGGTTGTCTCCACAACTTTGCAATTGTGAATTGTGCTGATGTAAACATTTGAGTGCAGGTGTCCCTTTTGTAGAGTGTCATTTGATCTTTTGGGTAGATGCCCAGTAGTGGAATTGCTGGATCAAATGGTAGATCTATTGTATCGCTTTAAGTATCTCCATATTGCTTTCCACAGAGGTTGAACTAGTTTGCTGTCCCACCAGCAGTGTAGGAGTGTTCCTATCTCTCCACATCCATGCCAGAATTTATTGTTTGGGGAATTTTTGATAAAGGCCATTCTCACTGGAGTTAAATGATATCTCATTTTGATTTGCATTTCCCTGATGATTAGAGATGTTGAGTATTTTTTCATATGTTTGTTGGCCATTATTCTGTCTTCTTTGAGAATTTCTTTTTCATGTCCTTTGCCCATTTTTTGATAGGGTTGTTTGGTTTTTTTCTTGCTGATTTTCCTGAGTCCTAAATAGGTTCTAATTCTCAGCTCTTTATCGGATGTGTAGCTTGCGAAAATTTTCTCCCATTCTGTGGGTTGTCTGTTTGCTCTTTTGACAGTTTCTTTGAGCTGTGCAGAGGCTTTTTAATTTGATGAGATCCCATTTATTTATTTTTGCTGCTGCTGTGATTGCCTTTGGGGTCTTCTTCATAAATTATTTGCCTAGGCCATTGGCTAGAAGAGTATTTCCAACGTTTTCCTCTAGAATTCTAATAGTTTCTCACCTAAGGTTCAAGTCTGTTATCCAGCGTGAGTTGATTTTTGTGAGAGGTGAAAGGTGTGGGTCTTGTTTCAGTCTTCTATATGTGGTTATCCAGTTTTCCCAGCACCATTTATTGAATAAGGATTCTTTTCCCAGTGTATGTTTTTGTCTGCTTTGTCGAAGATTAGTTGGCTATATGAGGATGGTTTTATATCTGAGTTCTCTGTTCTGTTCCACTGGTCAATGTCCCTGTTCTTGTGCCAGTAAAAAGCTGTTTTAATGACTATAGCCTTGTAGATAGTTTGAAGTCTGGTAAATTGATCCTCCTATTTGTTTTTATTGCCTAGGAATGATTTTGCTATACAGAGCCTTCTCTGGTTCCATACAAAGCATAAAATTATTTTTTCTATATCTGTGAATGCTGGCATTTTGATAGGGATTGGATTGACTCTGTAGGTCACTTTGGGTAGTATAGACATTTTAACAATGTTGATTCTGCTGACCCATGAGCATGGTATATTCTTCCACCTGTTTACATCCTCTGATATTTCCTTATTCAGTGTTTCATAGTTCTCTCTGTAGAGGCCTTTTACCTCCTTAGTTAAATATATTCCTAGGTACTTTATTTTCTTTGTTGCTATTTGAAGGGAATTGAGTCTTTGATTTGGTTCTCACTTTCACGTTGTTGGCATATATGAATGCCTCCTGATTTCTGTGTATTGATTTTGTATCCTGAGACTTACCAAATTCATTTATCGAATCAAGGAGTCTCTTGGTTGAATCCTTGGGGTTCTAGGTATAATATCATGTCATCCAGGAAAGAGTGAGAGGCATCTCTTCTGCTCCCATTTTGATGCCCTTAATTCTGCTCTCTTGTCTGATTGCTGTAGCAAGGACATCCAGCTACTGTTGAACAGAAGGGAGGATAGTGGGCAACCTTGGTCGTTCCAGTTCTAAGTGGAATGCTTTCAATTTTCCCATTCAGTATTGAATAGGTGTGGGTTCATCATATTGGCTTGTACATTAG